GTTTGAAGTGAGAATACTATTTATGACTTGTAAATAATTTAGTCTGTGATAATTTTATATCATATATTAATTTAATATAAAATATAAATTGTATAAATTGATAAGTGCTTATCCTAGGAGAACGTACTATAGGTGCTACGAGTTTTTTTTTATTGAAGTTGTGAGAAAAAAATGATTTTTCAAAATTACCCCCAATAATTATGGAATGAAAAACAAAAATTTACAAGATAATAACTTTTTATTCAAATTCAATGACTCTGTTGATAGTACCAATATCTCTTATACGTAGATGCATGTTTTCCTTTTTTTTTGTTTGTTTTTGGCAATAATCAGATGTAAAGCTTTTGCATTATATGAAATATATATTATTATTATTATTATTAGTTGTGTGCATGTATTTATTTCTTTAAAAAATAAGGTATATTCAAGTACTAAATAGAAGTACAACATCTTCAACGAGAATTATTATGTTGATTGTTGATGTTTACTGCATGTCCCAAGTTCATAGCACTAATATTAATGATGATTGCATTGGTGTTGATATTATTTTTTGTTATTGATGATTAGGTATTAAATTAAATTAAATAATATGGTTTAAATCCAGAGTCGTACAGGGCCCAAAATTCTTGGGTGAAAATAAAAGGATATCACAGAGGCCCAGAAGCTAGTTTTTGTTTTGGGTTTTTTTAGTTTTTAATAAAAACGGGGCGGGCTTTAACACGGGTCGGATTAAGACGCAATAGAAGGAATATGCATAACTTCGAATCGATTTTCTTCACCAAAAATAAAAGAACTAGGATTCGATTTTCAGTTTTTCACCCTCGAGTCGGGAAGGAAGTGCTTCGGTGGGGACAATGGCTAGCGAGGAGGAGAGACATCTAGAGACTCAACTGGAGCTTCAATTGCAGGAACAGAGGGATTCACTTTCTGCTCTCAATGATGCTCTGGTCTCTGACCCAGCCAATCCTGAGCTCCTCGCGGTACGTCGCTTCCCACCTCGATACCTTGGTTGGCATAATTGGAATGACTGACTTGCTTCAACCTCTTATTACTATAACCTTTTAATTTCCGGTCTTGCCCTAACTGGAATTCTATTAATTTTGAAAAAAAATGAAAATGATTGTTATGGTGAGGTAATGTTTTCATTTCGTGTCTTGGGATTTGGAAATGTTACCCAACCGGAATGATGGAACATCAGTATTGAGTTACCCTAATAATTTTCGATGGAAGTAACAGGTCGAGGGTAATGCGTTGATGACGGAATATATGAATTGTGGAATCTATGTAATGAACACTGAGTTTTTTCACAGATGGAAGGTAGACTCATGTTTGTTTGGGGGATTTTGCTTTGCTTTTGCTAGCTATCATATTCATGTGTGTTAGGCTTCTTATTAGCTAAATTTAATACGCAGTTCTACGTCAATGCAATTAATGTAAATGGGTTGAAATGTTCATTATTAGCTGGGGAAACGAGGTTATTTTTGGTTACGGAGAAGTGTTTGAGAGCTTTATCTAGTCGGGTTCTATACTATGCTCCGCTCTCTCTGTCTTCGTAAAAAACCTGGAGAATTGTCCATATCAACTATAGATGCCGACAAATTTGTCTTGCTCCTTTTATATTTTACAAATAATTTGGCAATCTCAAACATTTGGTTTAATGTGGTAAGCTGAAAATGAAGTACTGAGGGTTGGAAAATGCAATTTGAAACTATTTTCTGCGTATTTTTTTGGGTAAATTATTTTCTATATATTATTTATCGCTTAACTTAACATTTGGTGAAAGACCAAATCTTTTACTACCTTGGACTTACTGATCCAGAATGGGGATCAAGGGAAAAACTAAAAACAATGGTAAAACTCATATAATTGATGTCAACTATTAATGTCATGCATAACTCATTAAGAGCATGCATTCTTTATATTTAAGACAAACAAGAGTGATGGAAGGCACATTTTAACCTTCTCTCTTCAGTTTCTGCAGCTGATAGAGATATCACAGAAAAATTTTCTGTTGAATTTTTATAATTGGGATGTAAGGTTAATGAGCATTGCTTGCATATTTTCATACACGATCCAAAATCTTTGAATTTTTCTTTTTGGTTCTAAGTATTAGGTTAGCTGACAAGCATGGCTAATTTAACTTTGATGTCCAAGTTGTATGTTCTCGGAAGTACTTAAAAATTCAGGTAATTTAGTGGGCAATTTAAGTTTTACCTTGTTTGGAATTCTGGAAGATGTATTAAAGCAGAAAGTTAAGCGTTTTTTTTTTTATTTTTTAATACCAAATTGTTATCTACACTTCCTTTTTATTTTTCTGTAATATCTCTTGGATTTTGATTATAAGTTTTAGACCCGGTCATTCATTTTAATAAACTCTGGTAAATTTCTTAATATTGGTGTTGTATCGTGTCAGGTTCATGAGGAGCTTGTTCAGGCAATCAAGGATGCAGAGGAAGGGCTTCTTCACTTAAAGCGTACTCGATTATTGCATGAAGCAGATTCAGTGCTGAGTAGATCTAATCTTTCCACTCCAACAGAGAAAGTTGAGCCATTCGAACCCACTGATGTTGAACCAGACCCTCTTGAGGAACAACATTATTCTGTTGGATCTAAATGTAGATTCCGTCACACTGATGGGCGTTGGTACAATGGTCAAGTAGTGCAGTTAAATAGTTCTTCAGCAAAGATTTCATTCCTTACGCCTACGTCTGAGAATATGGTGGTAGGTGTTGTTTTCTTTTCTTATTCTTAGAATTGCTCTGTTTAAATTGACCATGGGGAGAAAAAGTCATATTGCAATGAGCTAGTGATTGGTTTATTATATATACTATTCCTTGTGTCCGTCCTTTCTCTCTTTTGTAGTAATAATTATGGGGTAAGGAAATTGAAATTGCAATACTCCTTTCTTTCCTCCATGGCAGTGCCTAGGTTGGATCTGTTTTGATTGGTGCATGAGGCTATGCAGGATATATTTGATACAAATGGAAGCAAGCTGCACCTCTTATGTATTTATTTAGGAGTCAAAAGGAATTGGCAAAAAAGAAAATGTAATATACCTCTTGGTAAAGATAATATATGTTGCTGTGGTTGCAGAGGGAGCTTTCGCGGGAAACATTGATTAAAATGCAAAGCTTCCATACTGTACTGAGCGAAACAAATGCTGATGAAAACAAAAAATGAATCAGAGAAAAGTAGAGAGACAGATGGCATATATTCTTTTAGAGGAATTTATAAACCTACATGTTCATGATTTCAACACTTTGTTTGTGCTCTTTTAGATATAGTTACAGTCTGTACAGATGTTTATTGGTTTGGTTTTATGATACTGTTGGTCCTTTTCTGAAATTTTTATTTAATTTGGCTAATTGTTCTACTGTACTCTGTTGAAATTACATTATACTGCTGGTTTCCCATTTGTTGCAAACCTCCCATGTTTGTGGGTGGATTGCGTAATTTCTGAAATAGCAGGGGAGGTTCTTGTTATATCAGTAAAACAAGGGAGAGCAAGGAGTATTTTACTGTAGTTGTTATCTGTGAGCCAGATGACCTAATTAATTGTTACAAGAGAAATGTGTTGATGCCATTAGTCCTATTGGGAGACTAGCTCCCAATAGTTCACAAAAGGTTGCTGGAGATGTTTGATATTTGTAGCTTTCAACTATAACGCAATCATAGTGAGTTGCAATGAATGACGATCTTGCACCTTTAAATTGTTCAAGACCTATAATTTGGTATATTCTCTCATTGCTCACCCAAATGCGCATCATCTTAATCATAGGTAAACATATTTTCAATAACAGTGGTGCTGAACTCCAATAACTACTTTATATGATAGGACGTAAGGTAGCTTGGACAATGCATCTGTTAATTTATGTCTGTGGTGATATGTGATTTGTATTGCTTGTTTGGAGATCTTCATCATACTCTTGAAACATTTAGCTATTGTTTAAATTATTCAGTAAAATGAAGTGGTGTTACTCATGTCAGTACTAATGCTACACCACCCAAGTGCAGATGTGCAAGTTTTTTTCTGCAACAACGATGTCGGTTTGGTACTAATTGTCGTCTATCACATGGTAAGCTCCAGTTATTGAACAAATAAAATAACTTGGATGTAGGTCACACGGGCAGATATTTTCCCCCTAGTCCCTGTATTCTATTGGCATTTGAACCTGTAAGTGCTGAGGTTTGTTGAAGACTGTTACCCTAGTGTCTCATGACCTTGTGAGAAGTTTTTGTCAGTCTAGGTCTAGTTTTGTCAAACAACTAGAGGTTAGGAAACCTGGTTTAATCTTTCTCTTGAGTAGTCAGCCCATAAGGTAGTATTATTAACTATGGTTATTGTCTTGTCATTTTTTCTGTAAGATAGCATGTCTATGTGAAATTTTCTTTTAATAACTTGAAAAGTGGTTTGTGTATGTGATTGTTGGGTAGTTTCTTGTATATTCTTTTATATAAATTTCTGTTTGACAAATAAAAATAATTAAGGCAAAAAAGGGAATTTTACTGATTTATATACGAAAGAAAACTTTTCTGTATGATATTATCGGTCGGCAAACCTGTTATTACCTTGGTCGCACTGTGTTTTTTGGGTCCACCATCCTCTCTTTTCTTAAGTTATGCCAGAACGTTTCAGTTGTTAAGCCTATTTCCAGATTCAGGTGATTGTTGTTTCTGTACATTTCACACTGGGAAAAAAAAAATTGTTATGCCATTTCTGTGGTGTTTGTTATTTCATCTCCTGTACTCATGTATTTGTTTAACATATCAGAACTCATGCGCATTTATTGGCAGGTATTGATGTTCCACTTTCTTCCCTTAGAAAATATGTTCCTACCATCTGGAAGCAGAACCTGGTTGGTTCAAGTATATGGGCAGTCTCAGATGTCAATGCTGGCATTTGGAAGGAAGCTGAGCTTGCATCCTGGGATGAAGAACTTGGGGTTGGACAAGTTGTTTTCCGAGATGATGGAAGTTCTGTGAACTTAGGAGCTGAAGCTATAGCATCATCTGAATGTGCAGAAGTGAGTGATGAAGAGAGTGATTCCAGCTTGGAACAATCTGATTTTAGTGACTATGAAGAAGATGACCCACAAGGTTTAGGCTTTCTGGAAAGTACCAACCTGCAGCGGGGTATTCAGACTGAAACTGCTATATTTGCTAAGTGGGAGAATCACACCAGGGGTGTAGCTTCCAAAATGATGGCTAATATGGGTTACCGTGAGGGTATGGGTTTAGGTGTTTCTGGTCAGGGAATGCTTAATCCCGTCCCAGTGAAGGTCCTTCCACCAAAGCAATCCTTAGATCATGCTCTTGAATCTCATAAAGATAAAGTAGAAGAGAGCAAAGACAATCAAGGCAAGAAACGAAGTAGAGGTGGTAAGAGGAAGCGTGACAAGAAATTTGCAGAAGCAATTCGTGTAGCAAAAGAAGAGGAGGAATCGGTGTCAGATGTCTTTACACTAATAAATAATCAGCTGGCAAAGCATGGCGAAGCTATAAATGGGGGATCAGTGAAGAAGCAGCAAAGTAAAGGTTCAGGGGAAGGTAAAAAGGTTGATAGGCGGGCTTTGATTGCATATGAAGACGAGGTGAAGGACTTGAGGATTCGAGTTGAGAAGCTTGAAGAAATGGTGAATAGAAACAGGAAAGAGAAGGTAGTTTATGAGGCTGCTATGAGAAAATTAATTGAAACCCGTAAAGCCTTAACAGAGGCTGAAGCAGCTCATGTCTCTGCCTCAAATGCAGTTGTTAGCAAAGAAAAAGAGAAGAGATGGCTGAAATTTTAGGATGCTGGACGAAAAAAATTATTTTTTGGGGGGGGGGTGTTGAGGGAAAAGAATTTTCTTGGTGGACCATAACTATATATTTTTAGACTGCTTTGTCATAAACTATTTGTAAATAAAATGGGATTCTTTTACTGGATGTTGTACTTTTTACTGGGTAGCGTAGATTGTGATGTTCTTACTGTGTCGTTGAAATTTAGATGCTGCAGGGACATCGATTATTTCCCTTTCCCCTTAGTATGGGGACGGGCTCAACAAACCTGAAAAACGCGCCAAGATGAAATGGCCTATATGCAACTAAGTTCATAGACATGAATTCCTTGGTCGGGATGGGTTTAACAAATAACCGTTGAGAGGGCATAGTCATTACAATGACCCAACAGCGTTGTGAACTTGAATCATTGTAAGAGGTTCACCGGCTTTACAAGAGACTACCAGGAAAAACAAGTAATCAAGGGAGCTAATTATTGGAGATTGACGTTGCATTGACAGCAACGTTCTTGTCTATAACCTACATGATGCATGCAACTATGCTTCATCAGAAAGGCAAGGAACTCTGTTCCCTAAGCCTATCACTTTTCAACTCTGTAATTGGTTCTGCTACTTTATTATAATTGCAAATAATTTGATACTGTTGTTGAATTGATGGATATGAATATGTTCTGGTTCGTTTTTATATTGGCTGCTGCTTCTATTATCTTCTAGTATGTTTAACACGTGGAAATTTTATTAACCATGTTACCATATCTGTTCTGGGGAAACATAATAAAATAAGGACCAATTTCAAGTTAGAATTGATCAAGTTGATTATTAAGGGATGCACAAGGATGTCAGAGACTGAGTCCACATAAGCATTTCTAAAATTAGTTTGTGATATCTGTCACTGCGCACTTGAAAACATATGTTGATAAGTTTTCATGCCTTAAATAAGTGGTTGTTTTCCTGTCAGTTAGGGAGATCATCACGCCTCAATTAATGCTGTGGTAATTCTCACGAACGCCTTTTTAATCTTGCTTAAGTTCAATGATAGTACCTTTTACATCAAAGTCATGACAGATGAATTCATTATGGTTTCTCTCTCTCTCTTTGTTTTTTTTTTTTTTGGGTGAATCATTATGGTTTCTTTGTTTCTTTTGTTTCAGTGTGGGAACTAGAGTGCTGGAAAAGAAAGAGGGGGTACTGAGAGAAGAGGATGATGGAGTAATGGACCCTCCTAGAAACTTTGAAATACTGCAACCGAGGGGGTGGCTAGACAATCTCTCTCTCTCTCTCTCTGTGAGTCTCGCAGTGGTTCTTTTGTAGATTCCAGCTTTCTCCCACTACCCACTTGGAAGTGGATTTTGGCCTACAGCCAAGTGAGAGTTCATTTCAATAACATAATTGCTCTCTCCTCAAGATTCCTCATTATTTTACGCGCTCCAAATCCAACCAGAACCTCAATTAGGTCCACAAGCAATATTCCAATCACAATAGCAACTATGAATATCAGGCCAGGCCAAAAAAAAAAAAATCATGGGTGGGGGCTCGTGGGACCCTCCAGTCCATTATCTTGCCCACTATGCAAACAGATGAGAGCATGCTTGCTTGCCATTCATCAATATTCTCTGAGACAGTGACTGACAGTTACCACGGCTTCTTATTTTCACTACAACTTGAAGGTAATGATATTATGTTTATCTCAAATTCAATGACATGTTACTGTCACGTGAGATGTGAACCAATCATGAAAAAAATATACTGCAGGAAAGGTTTCACTAATCTTTGAAGCTCAGAGAGTTAAAAGTTCCGTACATAAGTGGTCAAATAAGAGAAATCAAATAGAAGGGAGTATGTCTGTAATATATGCATGATTCTTTTTTGGTTAAAAAAAAGTTTATTGGGTTGATGCAAGTTTCATTGTTCTAATAGCATTTTTAGAGTTCTTACAAATTACAGATACATTGAGTCCTCGTAAGTCATAATAATAGTGGAATTTGAGTTTATGCCTTTGTGGGGTATTAATTGTATAATTAGCAGCAAAACCAACTTTCATTTTTGGCCTCTTGTATAATAGAAGGGGCAACCAACGATGAACAACTTGTGGGTCTGGAACTCCTAAGAAAAAGAATCCTGCACTGATTGCTTTGGAGATAAACCAAAGGGCTGATTTTTCACTATTGGCCAATGAAGATCTTTTTACTTGTTATACAATATCACTTTTCAGCTGTCTTTTTCTCTCTGTTGTCTGTTTCCCTGTATTTTTGTGAAAGGAATCCAAAATTCTACCAATAGAATCTTTAATGTTGAGACACTTTGTTGAAAATTAAGTGACGTGAGTGTGTGCATATAGGACTGGTAAACCTCAAGAAAGCCATGAATAGTGAAAATATCACTTAAAAGTAATGGTCGAAGTTGCTTGATTTTAGACGACAAATTTGAGACAAACTAAACTCCTACATTTGATTGATTTCACACTGAATTCTAAAAACAGAAGCTATTTTTTAATTTAATTCAGTAATATATCTTCTTATTTACACTGAAAGTTACTCATTGTCCGTATTTCAAAGCATGAGCAGGCGATTCTAATTCCAAATCTAAATTAACACTAGGGGTCCGAGAATTTATTATATTTTATTTTATAATTTGTATAAGTTTTAATTTAATAGGAATACAATATAAACAACATATTTTTTATCTATTAATATTTTATATAAAAATAAAACATGTAGAGCCTAGACTGTTAAAATTAAATTTATATGTTTCAAATCTCATCACAAAAATGGCAGGAAGATGAGTATTGAGTAGAATATAATTTCTTTGGCATGCGTATAGATTGAGGGTTTTTATTCTCTTGTTTTTTCCCCCATAAAGTGCATATGGATTGAGGATACATATAGGTTTGATTGCATTTAATTTCTTTTTTCTTTTTGAAATGATTGCATTTAATTTCATTAGAACGTAACCATATAGTATAACAGTGACTATATCATAAAAAGATTAAGGAATCACATTAATGTGTAATAAATTAGCATATATAATTTTTGCAACATTATATTAAGGATACACGTTGTAAAGTACTATTTCAAACAAAATTTTTATTTTAGAAATACTATATAGACACACAATAATGTAAAAAATTTTAAAAAATATTTTGCATATAATAGCATAAATATGAGAAATATGTCGATTTGAGTCTATTCAACATCATAAAATTATATTAAGAATATCAAACATTTAGAAAAAAATTCATTCTCAAATCTCACACAAGCAATCTATATATATATATATATATATATAAAACCTCCTGAAATCACAAAAACACTCTAAAGTATCACATCATTTACTTAAGCTATCAATTTGTTATATTGCAGTTGTTAACTACTGTTAGATAGTTAAACCAAAATTTAGCACACAATTAGTGAAGTGTCAAATTTCTTGGCCAAAAAAAAAAAGAAGTGTCAAATTCTGGCCGTCTAAAAATAAAAAATTATAGGAAGACAACATAAATAGGTAACCTATTGCTGTTAAGTGAATAACAAAGACACATTATATATTAACAAGCAATCAAAACGGGAAAAAAAAAGGGAGACATATAACAAAAAGTGAAAAATGAATTTATGATATCTGTAAGACATTATATCTATAACTCTTTTTTTTTTTTAATTCGTGTGTGCCGTTTTTTAATCCTACTGCATATAATGCGAGACTCTTTTTTTTTATTTCACTAATTATTAACCCCAACTATAAATTACATTTTTATTTTTGTATAATAAAAAAGTTGTCCCCGGAAAAACCCTTGTCAAGGCATGCACATGCCATGTGAAACAAAAAGTAAACGTAATTGATCCATGCATTGGAATCGACGATGATTGAAAACAGTAAATTTAGATAATAAGACAAATTGTTTTGGTTTTCCCATTATACTCGTGAAGGTATAGGAACACTCACGAGTGGATCACTATGTGACTGTGTTTTTAGGAGTCAGTCTTTAATTATGATATATATGACATAATTTAAACAACGCGTGTAATATAAAGTTTGCATAAATTTAGAATTTATATAATACTGAAAAAATTGAAAATTTAGGTTTCCACGCACCTTTCATAGCCTGCGTTATGTGTGTGTGTTGTAATTATATATAAATCATTAGTGGATGTTGTATAGGAATCCAAATTAAATCAGAATCTGGCACACACAGAATTGAAAGAAAAGGTTAGACAAAGAAGAACAAACATTTTTGTTCTATTTAAACACGCCATTCGTGACATTATGCGAGTGCACTAAATATAAAAAATTAAAAATACAAGTTGGCTTATATTTATAACATGCCTTGTTTTTATTCTACAGTATAGTTCTGGATATAGCTCAGAAGGGTTACAAAAATTTCATCGATTTTTTTTTTTTTAAAGTGGTTCTATTTCTAATCCCCTTCCACTGCCCAAAGAAAAGGTAAACTATACAAAATCCCCTCAACTTTGATGCAATTACACATAGCTTCATTTATCTTTAAACATTTAAAATTAATCTCCCTAACATTTTATTATGTTATTCCAAAGCCCGGGTTGTTGATAATTCTGTTATCTTATTAACAAAATTTGTCATATCATATTAATGAAATATGCATGGCACTTGACATGGAAAAAATATTTTAATTATTTTTCAACACAACTTAAGAAGGAATCATATAAATAAAAAATTTTATCTTTTCAAACAAGAAAAATATGCAACACTAATAAAAATATGGATAAAATTTGTATAAAGTTATTATTAATTAGTTTACATAAGATGGTACACAAGCTCCAACGTGTTTTTTTTAATATAATATGGCAATTTCTTTTAATAAGATAATTAAGAAATAATAGTAGGGAAGTATGTGGTAATGGGTAGGGATGTTAATTTTAAATTTTTAAAGATAAGTTGATTCTATATAATTGTTTTAAAGTTTAAGAGAGTTTTAAATATTTCAGGAAAAAAAAATCTAGTCCTTCTCGTCCAATTCAAGCTTATTATCCATGTTTTTTTTTTTTCTAAATGTTGAATCAACGTAACTAATAAGTATTTTTAATTAAGAAAACGATTGAAAAGTACCATTAATGAGCTTTATTCCAAATAAATCGTACAAAAAATAAATAAATTTTCTTACCTTTTTTGTGATACGGATGTCTAACTGAATTAAATTTAAATATTGTCAAATCAATTAAGAGTATCTCTCACAAAGGTGTTTTCTACCATCACATTAAAATATTATACTTAAGTATTCATAACTCCTTTCACTAGAACTAATGCCTATTGATTTCTCCAAAATTTCTTCACCCATTTAACAAACATGAGATCGAATAAAAAGTAAAAAGTTAATCATTTTGTTAAAGAAAAAAATTAAAATATATTGAATTCTAATTAAGAAAACATAAAAAAAATTAGAAAAATACTTCCTTCCTTCTAATAAACTCTTTCTCATGTCAATCAAATTTTATGTAACCTTTAGATTTATTTATAAAAAAAACAAGTCATAGTTAAAGAGGCCGGGAAGGAATATTCACCAATACAAAAATGACTTTTTACAGCGGTTAAAAATGACTTTTTACAGCGGTTAACGAGACGATGTTGTTCCAGGGCTTTTTACATCGGTTATAAATTCGACGTAAAAATTAAATTTTTTACATCGATTATAGAGCCGATGTTGAAAGTTATATACAAGAAAATTAAAAAAATTTACTTTAACTTTTTACACCGGTTCTTATCCCAACCGGTGTAAAAAGTGTACCTTTTACACCGGTTGGGACTGGAACCGGTGTAAAAGGTACACTTTTTACACCGGTTATGGTCATAACCGGTGTAAAAAATATTATATTCTACAACGGTTGTGGTGTGTAAAAAGTATTTTATTTTTTTTATATTATATTTATTTTATCAATTTTACCCATTCCTGTGCATAGAAATTGCCAAATCAGACAGCTCAATTAATTTACAATTGTTTATCAAGTATTTATCAACTATACAAAGCTATTTAACTATTAAAAAAACTAATAATTGTCTAAATTGTCAAAATTGCCATTCCTGTGCATAAAAATTGCCAAATCAGACAGCTCAATTCATTTACAATTGTTTATCAAGTATTTATCAACTATACAAAACTATTTAACTATTAAGAAAACTAATAATTATCTAAATTGTATCAACTATCAAAATTAAAACATGTCTAAAAGTAGCAAAAAATCTCACAAGTTCTCCACAAAATAGGTTGCCCAACGTATGCGGATGTCTTCAATTTAGCTTCAGAAAATGCATCCGAATTGTCGAACATCTAAAATTTAATTCATAAAGTAGGCATATTAATCAATTTCAAATAACATAATAAAATAAAATTTTTAAAAATATATATATTTACTTCTTTTGTAAATTCGGTCATGCCTAATGTGATAATATTGAGCATGTGCCTCATGATATATAGACCGCACAAGTTCGTCCTCACCGGTTGTCTATGACTCTATATAAGAACAAATCATAAAAAATTAGTAAGAAATCTTAATGGTTGAATATATTAATAAAGTATAGCATCACCTTTGGCTCAATCATGTGGGATCCTTGAGCATATGTCCATGCTTTTGTAAGACTACATTTTGATATGTTCTCATTGTCCTATGATCAAGATTACCAAGTTAGTAAAAATATTCAAAAAAAAATTAAATTAAATAGTTTAGTAAAAGTATTCTTACAAGTCTATCGTCTTCTTCATTTCTTTCCCAAGTTTGTAATGGAGGGAGCATAAAAAGACGACAGTGTTGCTCTTCATTGAAAGAACAAATAACTGCCAATGGTCCCTGCTAAATATGATACAAGTTAAAGTAAATTCATATTAAAAAACTATTAATTATAAATTGATCCTTACGAGTGCACATATGGAGCCATAAAAACGTCCTTTTTGACTTCACATATTCTCTGTTGGAGGTACGCGGCCCTTAACTCTGGAGTATTACCTTTCTCTGTCATGTGATAAGGGCAAAGGAATGCAAACTTATCACCTTTGCCCGATATAATGCACAAATGATGAAGATACCTACAACAATGCAATTATATTAGTTTACTAAACTTGATGATTAAGTTTACTTACAACAATGCAATTATATTAAAGAAAAATATACTTACATCATAAATAATTCAATGTGTGGTGTGGTAAGCTGATTATTTGACAGAAGTCGAACCAAATCTTCCCGTTCAATTGTCACTAT